ATGCATGTCATAATGATTGCATATTATACAGAAAAGAATTTAAAGGTTTGAAAACATGTTTGAAGTGTGGGTTATCATGGTACAAGTAGAAAACCAATAGCGAAGATAGTGGGCAAATAGAAAACGATGGTCTTGCTTTGAAAGTAGTTTCGTACCTTCCAATCATGCCCATACTCAAGCGTTTGTTTGCGAATCCAAAAGACACTAAAAACCTTAGATAACATGTAGATGAGAGAATATGTGACAAACTACTTTGTCATCTGGTTGATTCAATGCAATTGAAAAATATTGATAATGAATTCCCTTAGTTAGTCAAGAATGTAGAAATCTTCAGTTTGGTTTAGCTACCGATGGAATGAATCAATTTAGTAATTTAAGTGAAAACCATAGTTGTTAGCTTGTTATATTATTCATTTACAACTTATCTCCTAGATTTTGCATGAAGAGAAAGTACATGATATTGTCTGCGATTATATCTCATCTAAGGCAACCCTTAAATGAGATAAATGTTTATCTCAGTCCACTAGTTGAAGACTTGAAGTTGTTATGGATTTATGGGATTGAAATACTTGATGCTTTTGCTTATAAAACTTTCATGATTCATGTAGTGTTATTTTTCACCATTAATGACTTCTCAACCTATGATAATTTGTCAGGGTACAATGTCAAGAGTCATAAAACATGTTCTATATGTGAAGAAAACACTTTAACCCATCAATTGAAACATGAGAGGAAGCGAGTATATTTGCACGATAGAAGATTTTTACAACCTAATCATCATTATCGAAGGTTGAAAAAGCATTCAATAGACATAAAGAGAATGACTATGCACCAATCCCATTAATTGGCCTTTAAATTCATGAAAAAGTTAATAAAGTCAATAATGCATGTAGAGAAGATTGTGTGATAGCTTGATTGATACACTACTTAATATTTAGGGAAAGACAAAAGATAAAATAAATGCTTATTTGGATGTGCTTGAAATGAAGATTTGAGAAGAC